TCTTTTTTTATAAGCAAATAAACCTTTTGATGTATGTCTTCGTCTTTGGAATAAAACGTTAAGCTTTTATCTTTTCTGTAGATGCATATTAACTATTTAATGACAGTTATTGATTATTACGGGAGTATGCCGCTAATGTAGTTAAGCTACCGTTTGGACATGTATTCATCTGTAGCATCTACCGGAAGCTATAAATTAATTTTTTCATTTGTGCCGCCGCCTTATGCTTCATCGTTAAGAGAACGATCAGCGATAACAGTGTTTGGATCTACAAAAACATGCATTAAATGAAACGGCTGTCACGAGATAATTATATCCTCTGCCGTAACAGGCTGCAACTGATTATGAAAAACGCGAGACGGCACTCGTATGGATAATTGCTGATTTAAATACCAGATTTTGTAGTATTAATAACGATGCGAAAACATTTTACATTAACCACGATCGTTAATTTCGAGTACTGTGTCATTACGACAGTACAACAAAAGTCTTTTTTGCGAATCAAAAATAAACATCCGAAAAATTTCTGCGCAAATTTTTAATTTAATATGATTAAATATTTAATTTATTATTTAATATGATTAAACATTGGAATAATTCAATGATTGGTTTGTTGATAATTCATGATTAAAGTCATTTAAACTGTATTAAATGATGTCTGTTTTTATATCTCTATATTCGTCAGTCAAAAATTTCTTTAATCTTCCCACGTTATTATTATTATTATTATTATTATTATTATTATTATTATTATTATTATGATCATGTTGATCTTGAAAAATTTATCACGTAAAATTAATTATTGAATGCACATTATTACTTTACCTCACTTAATCATTTGACTTTAGAATGAGCATTTATGAATCAATCGTTATTCACGCTAATAGGTATAAATGAAATCCATCAATACAAATAGCTCACTTTATTCTTACTATTCATTCTCGTCATCTTTTTTCTAATATTTGCAAAATCCTTCATTGCTCAAAGTCACAGCAATTTCTTTATTACGCTTCAATGTTTTTTTCTCGATTGTTTTATCGATATATATATTTAGTGTTATTTATTTTCAATGCGCCGATACAATCTCAAAAATATGGTGACTACAAAATAATTGGAATATTTAATCAATAAGCTAAAAGTATGATTTTCTCGCAATGATGATGATCTTAATTCATCGATCGATTTTTCGTGTTTTGTTTTTATCTCACATTAACATAATTCATCTCTGTCAAAAGCTACTTTAAAAGCAAAAGAAGAAAAGGAAGGATCGGACCTTGTAATCAAAGATGAAGTATACAAAGCGATCTAAAATATAAAAACGACTTTGTACACGTATTCTTGAGTGTCTGCAACGTTTGCCTAACGTTTTAGTGTTTTTTTAAAAATAATTATTAAAGTAGTATGTCAACGTGTCCGCACGTACGTTCATTTTCGCTTGCGTTTCGCGTCGTCCTTGATGCCTCGAAGAGATGCCGTGTTCATTACTCAAGCTTCTACGTTTATCCGTCGAGCTGATAGCGATTAATGTTTTGTCGCTGCACACTGAAAGAATTTGCGAGTGGGAAAGTTCTCAAGTCGCGCGTGCTCATACGTCGCACGACATCGCGAATCGCGATTACAAATTTCGATCTCGTCGTAAGATCTCGCGCGTCGAAAGAAAACGCGTTATTCGACACCGTGAGTAACGAGCGAACTATTTGGTTACGCAAGCGAATTAAACGTATTCGATTCTTTAGGATCAAGGATTTTGATGAAGCGCCAAATAAATCGGTTATCCGCGAACGAGGCGACGTGGCTTTCGGGGTCACGTTCGCCCGTTTGCGACAAGTCGAATACCGAGATCCCGAACGAGAAGCTTCGCCACGCCGAGACTATGAACTCGTATAATGTGCAATCTCCCCGTGCCATTTTTAAATCCTATCTGCGTATAAAAAGACTCTTGTATACTCGATCCCGATGTGGCTGCGCGATGGTTGGAAGAACGAGTGTTTCGCAAGTCTTGACAGTCACGGACAACATCAATACGACACGTCCGTTTTATGCGGGTGCCAGGTTAAAACGGCGAGAATAGCAACGAAATCGTGAACATGTTGAATCCAGACAATGACAGCTAATAATATTTCTCTTTGTTATATTTTAACAGAGTAGTTATATACAAGGTGTTTCTTAAGTCGAGGTCAATCACTCGGAAGGTGAATAGGAACAAGAAAATAAGAAAGAAAGTTGATATGAACATAAGTCTGAAAATGTATTGTTTTCGAATTATTCGTAAAAATGTCGAAAATAATTCGAGAATAAACGCATGTGTATCGAATTCATATCAACTCTTTTTCTTGTTTTTCTATCCAATCACCTGTCAAATGATTGACTTCCACTTTTGAAGCACTCTGTATATATTTTAACGCAATCTCATTAGTCTGTCTGCGAGATAAAATAATTCACGCGAGTAAACGCGGAAGAAATCAAAGATCTCCATGCTAAGATTATTTAAAACGATTTTATTTGAACTCAAAGCGTGTCTTTAATTCTCATTACGTACAATTGGAGATAATCAATTCCATACTCCAAAGAGCAAGCTGTGTCAATACAGCTGTGATTGCCAATACATAATACACATAAGAACAGCTGCTCATTGCACGCTACTTTTTAAACTATAAAACTGCTAACTGCGCTTATGTAGCACTGCGCGGATATTGACAGCAACATTGACCAGAATTCGATTGTAGGTCGGCGTATTAAGACGGATAAGAAAACAATATTGCTTCAGAGCATTGTTTGAGAAAACATCGCCACATAATGGTTTAAAGAAGAGTGCAATATCATTGCGATTGCAAAAAGCAAATAACAGCATATGAATTCTTAATTATGAAACGCGTGAACGCGTTGGCTTTGTAGCGGCGATTCCGCGAATGTTTCGAGGATTGTTAAAGCGCATACGTCACAGTCTACTTAGGGTAGACCTCGGCGAAGTGAGCAGCCTTACGGCCGTCTTCTTCCTCGCCTTCTCGCGGTGCCGCTTTTATAATGATATTCCATTTTGTTAACGTCGGGCGCAAAGTCGGTAGCCATGATCCGTTTCCACGCACCGGTGCACCCGGCTCCACATCGTTGTCGTCATTCTGGAAATCCAAGAACGAGCGACCGCGAGATGAGTGCGGATGATTGCGATGCGATCATAAGCCGCGTCATATTCTCTCTATCGGAAAATCGACGCATCGTGTGAAATATAGCCTGTGAAAAAATACGCAAAGTAAATATATAATCACAGCTGATGGTTCAGTGTCAGCCTAATTTTCCAAATGGAATTCGAATGATGATCGTGTCGCGAATAAACGTGTCGGGGCTAAACGAATTGCGCGAAAGCTGTTAGTAACGAAAATTACGTAAATGCGTAAATGAGATCTTATCTTGTCGTCTGAATAATGTAAACCGACAAATTTCGAGAGAAGGTTTAAGATAATGCATGCGTGAGAATTTGCATACGTAATAAACTTAAGCAGCTTGAATTGTTTACGTGTCACAAATTGAAATTGAAATATAGAAACGTACGTCTGACGGTGCAGAAACCACTCCGGCACATGAATATGCTAATGAATTTTACTATTCACTTTGTAATTTACATTAGACGAAGGTTCGAACTGTCCGCGATAAGCTAATTAGATTATAAATTCAAGATCACAACACATTTTTAATAATTGGCATATGTTATGCAGTCTTAGTTTTAATGAATAACGAGATTGTTGGCGATTATCGCTTTCATCGATTCGATGATGACTCAAATGATCATACAAATGGATGACTCGTTAGAAAAGCGACCGTTTCGATACTCCAGATTCGAATGCTTTCGTATAAAGGGAACATTCACGCTCGTGATCAATCTACTCTTGACCCTTTTGAACTGGCAATGACCTAAAGTCCAAGATCTGATCCGTATATACTTGCCATCAATTAAAGCAGGCACTCTTCGTGGTTAACGAGGTGTACCCAGGAATGCCAAACCTTTGCCATTTCGCTTCGTGAATCGTTACAATGCATCTTTCATCTTTCAGTTCGCGCTCCGTAGATTCGAACCCCCCCCCCCCCACGAACCTTCCAAACGTTCAAGGTTTCCTTCTGAGGTCATTACGATTTTTCGTTTCCGAAACCCAAACCCGAGGCCGCAAATACGCGATCATAATGATCTGCAACGAGATCGTAATCGTAGAAGGACAAAAAACGTACCGGTGCGGAACAATTCTCATCCTCCCCATCGATCCATCATTTTATCCGTTCTCTTTCTACCTGAGTGTATCAACTATCCATGGGAGTTCACAAAATTTTTGCGTGTCATTACATTAAGACAGTGCGTCAAAACAAAACTTGTACTGATATAATGGAAAAGATACGAGCTCCTAAAGATAAAAAAAATATATAAATATATATGATCTGTTTAAATAGAGCATATTTTCTTGTTTTTACAACAGAGATAAATTTCACAAAACAAAATTTTTTTACACTCGGTGTTTCGTAGTCGCCACATGTGAATAGTACATGCTCGAAGGAACGAGTGAGTGTATATGTTACATTTTTTTTTTACATTTACAGATTAGAATACCGCTAAAGGTAAACTTTTCGGTCAGACCAAGGGACGTGGTCGTGTCGATTGCGAAGAAACATCTGAATTGCGGGCTGAAAGGCCATCCACCAATTCTTGACGGGGATTTTCCACACGAGGTCAAACTCGAGGAGTCTACTTGGGTAATTGAGGACGGAAAACTATTGCTAATTAATCTGGAAAAGGTGAGTCACATGTACAGACGTGATAGTATTCGCGCTATCGTAGACACGCTTTTGCACAGCCTTGCCGATCTTCGGCCTTGCCGGAACGGTGATTCCGACAGTTCTAGGATCGTTTAGTCACAGATAGAAATTTAAGATACGCATGATCGATCGACATATTTTTCAATTTACAAAATAAAGCATTTAATAAAGCACTAATCTAATAAATTCTTTTACTATTATCGCATAAATATTTCATGATTTTATTTAACGTAGTCTTTTTTATAAATTTTATCTCATGAAATAATAATTGATTTGCAACATGTATTAACATACATAAGTTACCAAATGTGCGCGATATAATTATAATAATAAAAAAATCTTAATAATTTATGGCGTAATGGAAAAATGTAATAATCGTAATATTTCTTGTGATCGGCATATTGATATTTTGAGCACATTTCCTATTTGCAGGTGAATAAGATGCAATGGTGGGCACATGTGATAACCAGTGAGCCAGAAATCAGCACGAAGAAAGTGAACCCCGAACCTAGTAAACTCTCTGACCTCGATGGAGAGACAAGAGGTCTTGTTGAGAAGATGATGTATGATCAAAGACAGAAAGAGCTGGGACTTCCAACGTCTGATGAACAAAAGAAGCAGGATGTTATAAAAAGTAAAATATTGTATCTGCATATTTTCCTAGTACATTATACAATATTTACATTTCGAATTAACTATTATTGAATTTTTCTAGGTTTATGCAACAGCATCCTGAGATGGACTTCTCGAAATGTAAATTTAATTAAGATAATTTGATAATGCGCTAAATAATATACATTAATACTTTTGAGATTGCATCTCGCTTTTCATTATTATGATATAAATATGCGATCTTCTACACCTGATGTTGCCGTATCTTTAAAGAGGGAGATCAATTTGATTATGAAGATGGCAGCACTATGCTAGACTTTGACGAAGTGTGCAGAAATCTACTATTGCGAGCGAAATGTTTATCGATCATTCTCTTCATTCTTTTTTTACATTTTACTTATTTTTTCTTGTAACTTTAGAAAAACATAGAAGTACACAATTGTAAATGTTTAATTTTTGCTTTGCACTTCTTTTATGTAACTCATTTTATCTGTCAATTAAATAAAAAGAATATGAGTTAAAACTGTATGAAAGTAATGCAATTCAAAAAATAAAAATTGTATAACAGTTTCTTCCTTTCAAATTCTTAATGATATTTTAATCATTTAATGTAATCATCAATAAATATATAGTTCAAAGGTAAGTAACAGGAAAAAATGAATAAAGATATAAAGATATATAATCAACCGTGTTAATTTCTGCAAAAATTACATGTTATTTTTTGGCCTCTTATATAAAACGATATAAGTATATTTTTGAGGAAAACGAAGCGTGTACAATATAATAACATGTTGCAGCATAATTAACTTTGTAGCTTTATAGCTCCAGTACTTTAAGATAGCGTAGTTCGTTTTTTATTCTATAAATATATGATAAATTGCTATACAGTTTGAGATTTGTGTTTCGATGCTTAACATATTTTCCACTTTTATGCGTAAACAATTAATTGCAGTTATAATCGCGCCATATTTTCTAGGTGTATTCATCTTGCTTCATCATTTTCGTAATCCAACGCACATAATTGGATATTCTGGCATATATACCGAATTTACCGCGTTTGCCACAACCTTCACCGAAACTAGTGATACCAAAAATTGTCCACGGATGATCGGGTCTTCGGGGATCTCTACAGAGTAGAGGTCCCCCGCTGTCGCCCGCGCAAGAATCCATTTTCCCGCGGCGATAACCCGCACAGAACATATTATCCGTAATTCTGTAATCTACATACACTTCTCGACAGGTTTCGGGGGACACTATCGGAACCTAGAATCAAATTTTTTTGTTTGTATTTTTTCTCGAAAATACGTAGTTCGATTGAGTGTTTATTATTATATTATGAAATAATTAAATTATATATTTTTCTTTTTAAATTGCGTACTTTGACTTCGTGCAACACATCTGTTCCGAAATCATCCGTCACGCTGGATTTGCCCCAGCCGATAATAGTGCATAATTGGTTTGTGGGTAAGGGCTGCTTTGGCGCAGGCAGACACGCAATTCCCCTCGAAGGAGATGGGGTCAAGGTAACTGGTAAACGAAGTAGAGCCACGTCGTTATCAACGGTATCGGCATCGTACTCTGGGTGAATAGTCACCGAGTCCACCTACGCGATCATAAAATTAATCAGTGAGACCATGAAATTGTATCTATCTAGATTTTAACTATGATACGTACCCTAAGCTCTAACTCCGTGCCTTCTTTCACCGTTAAATCGTGCTCTCCAATGCGAACATACAAGCGTTTTCTAATACAATGAGCGGCAGTCAGTACCCACCTTGGAGATACCAATGTTCCACCGCAAAAAGCTTCCTAGAAAAGGAAAAAGCAATTAATTTTGAAACAACATAAATCCTTTCTTATTTTCCGATTGTAAGCATTTCGTGGATATTTATTATTTATTATTTGCTTGATAAGAATATGAATTTCAGTCGTCGCAAACATACTCGAAATCGATTTAATACAGCCACCTGCCACGGCCAGTTTCCAGGCGCAGTCGGACGTCCACCAATGATTCGCGTGAAGTATGATAATCTGGATCCTTTGTGAGTGTTCGCTACGCCGCATTTCCAAATGTTCGAATTCTTTTCTGGAGCGAAGCTATCCACTGTGTTAGGATTGAGTTCAAACTCATCCAACACCGAATCTAACAATCAGCAAAACTAAATTTAAAACTAGCTATTCGCTTTTTTATTAACTGACCTTTTTAACTGACCAACATTTAAATGTTGTTGAGATATATTTACCATCGCCATCTTCTTCATGGCTACCACGAATTTTTCGATGGATCCATCTTTGGCAAAAGCTACCTTCGACGTAGCAGTAGGCACTCTCTCGTATTACGTCGCGCCCACAGATACCCGGTTTTCTGCACCATCTGATTAGAATGATGAATAATATATATGTACGTTATTATGTCGGTTACATAATGTACGAATTTTTATAATACCTATGACGTTGTGTAGTGCACAGTCTCGTGCAAGGCGACCACTTGCTCCATTTTCCATAATGTTTTCCAGAGTGTTCCTTGAGATTATTGCCTCTTCGTTTTCCATGTCTAGGCTCTGCTTCCTTAGGTACCTGTCGAAAACGCGCATGCATTAGCAGTCAAAAACGAATTCATTATCACATTTCATAACTCACTTGAACCACGTGAAATCTTTCGTTTCTTCGATGTCCCCGACGCTGGCGTTGCTTGCATCGTCTTCGACGACCTTTTCTGTTATGTTCACAACCACGTTCCTCCTACATCACGACAGATACTGAATATAAAAATCATAGATAATATATAATTATATGATTAGCATATCTACCCTAAGTACAGTGGTTCCGCAATCTTTTTTTAATCGACACCTCCTGACACGATTTTGCGTGCAGTGTCGATCGCATACCGACCATTCGCTCCAGTTTGTGAAATGCGACAGTTTTGTCACTTCTGTATAAAAAATATTAATAAAATATTTATAAAAGAAATATGTGAAGTTGAGAATATTGAAAAGAAATATAAATGAATCAAAACGAAGAAATTTATGGAAAAGCCATGATGCACATACACTTACTATTCTTTGGCAAATGCTCTACGGCAGAAGTCTGGTCAACCGAATGGAGGCAACTTACATTGTCCTTAATTCCAAAGACGAATGTGTCATTCTAAAATTTTTGAACAAATTTAATCAACTATATAATATTTAGATTTATTTATCGTTGAATAAAAATATTATATAATATTAGATTCTTTTATTCTATTTTAAATCGTTATCGACGTTGTCGTTACGCGATATTTAATCAATAATCATTGTACATTGCGAATTTTAATATTTAATAAATTTTATAACTATTATTCGATTGGCGAATTAACCAATTGCAATCGTTTCATATTTTGACCTTGACGAAAGGATTAATATCAGCGAAAATTTCATACCGCATTATCTTGTCATTTAACACGTCTGTGTCAACGGTGGCTGCATGCTGATACGATTGCCTCAAAACGCAATGAAATTATCTGTCCTAGACCGAAAGACTTAATAGATACGGCCTGACCAACTATGTGGTTCCATCATCTAGTGTACGCCAAGGCTGTAACGCCCAAGTCGCGACATTAAACTCAATTTGCTCGCCGGTAATATCGTCGCGACGTAACCACGTCGGCGCTAATCATGCGTTACACGATGTCACCGTGTCGACAGAATATGTATGTATATAAAATTACTGTCATTTTCATCGTCGCGCCTTCTCGAAGCTTCTCAAGATATACGTTACTTTGACATTCCAAGCAATAGTTATCGCCAATGATTCATTACGGTGCACATTAATTCAGCTGCGATCAAAATGATACTTGAAGCGTTTCAGCAATCACCAATATTGTTCGAGATAATAATAACGCAAATTATTGTTATCTAACCTGGGATTAAATAAAACGAGAATTCGAATTCGCATGAGAAAAGAAATATATTTCGTCGAGATATGTATTTCTTTAATTCGGGGTTTAAATAAATTATTTTTAAACATACTTGTCGACAATATTTTTGGCGGAGAATTATGCTACAGATAAAATATAGTTAAAAATTTTTTCAAATTTATACTAAAATTTTGAAGAAATGTTTATAGATTTAGAAAAGATTGCATAATATTATTATATATTTTAAGTATATAAATATATGTGCATAATTAAATTTTAATCAATTTCATTAAGATTCTTTTCAGAATTTTGCAAGATACTACTGCAATTAAATATCGCATTTTCAAGCATGTGAACATTGTGATTACCATTACTCGGTATTTAAAAGCCAAGACAGAAACAATTTCTGAATATGAATATCTTGAAAATGATCAGTTTATCAGAATTAATTTTGCCATGCGAAATTTTATAAATACAAAAAAACGAATTTTCGGTTTTGTTTTCAGATTATATTTATCCAGTGTATTAATTGATCAAAATATGCAAACGAATATACAGATCACGAATAAATTTTTTTAGCAACAGGAATCTTGAAACACTTCGGAGATTTCGAGAGTATTACCGATTACTGAAACGATTTCGTGTATTTCAAGACACCGCCCACGAGTTGAATATTATCGAAAGGTTAATAGAGGTACACGTGTATTCGAACCGGATTTATCTCTATGCCATGAATATTTAATTAGCATCAATCAAACATAACAAAACGATATTTTGATTTAAAAAAAAATATATATATATATATTGATTTAAAAAATATATATATAAGTTCGATATATATAAATAAACGATGATAATTCATTAGTATGGAATTATTTGTCGAATGGAGGAACGCAAGAGAAAAAAACATTAAACGGAGGAAAGGCAATCTCGGAAAGGATAACAAACGGAGTAAGAGAAATTTGTATGCGGCAAGGTTAGCGTGTCCAAACTAGGCTGAAATGCGCGGTACCTTGCATCTTGGTGACGATCCCGCAAAAAGTTTGTGCCGCTAAAAGGAAAGACAATTCCGCGGGATAAAGTCTCGAAGAGACGCATGTTACTTGTTACCGCGATGCAACTTCAATGTCTGAAAAATCCTATACGGAATCTACGCGAGAAGGATACAGGAAATGTCAAAGAATTTTTATGTATGTCCGAAAAAAGATTAAATTCGCTAAATAATTTATGTGAGGGTTAATTAGCTAACCAAGATTTTCATTTTTCTACTTAAAACTTCCTGTTTTAAATTTAATAATGGACGATTTTTATTGTTTATTTGAAATGATATTTTTTTTGTTATTCTTTCTTAATTCCATATTCATATATCTTTATGTTTATTTCACGTTTATTTTACGAAAAAAAAATAATTCGCCTTAAATTTATTTTTGGTACGACAAATTGGTACGATTAAGATCTTTAATATATCTACAAAATATATCGAGACGAAGATTAATAATAAAAGTAAAAAACATATCGGAGAATGCAATACAAAAAATTAGCAAACATAAGTTATGCAGTTAAAAATAATAGTGTATTTGAGATATATGGTAGATGTAATTCAAGATCATCGTTTAACTCAATCTGGATCGTGAATGTATGAAGAAACGTGATGCAGGCCATTTTGGATGGTAGATGAAGAAAGGTTCGGAAGCTACTCCATGAGCTAACGCCTGAGCTATACCTTAGATGGTATCGTGGCCGGTCTGCCCACCGTGTTCGCGCATATTTTAATATAAGAGATCGAATTGGTGCCATGTGCTTTCATCGACAAACTCTGCATTACATTTTCTATAGTTTTTAGATGGTCTTTAATAAACGTTTTGATTTTGTCTTTGATTTTGTCTAATTTTTAATTGATTTGTTTTTAATAATTGTTGAAGGAAATCAGTACGAAAATCATAACGCGAAAATTACAATTTTATATTAATTCAATAATAATCTTTAAAATTGAAATAAGCTTTGAGTTGCGTAAATAAAAATTTCTGTAAATAAATGAAAGATCAGGGAAAAAGTGATATTTGCTTTGCGAATTAATACCTCTCTAAATAGTAACATCGTTGAAGCTTGCTCAATAGCTCAAAATGATTGGCGACTCTTTTGTAAAGGTAAAATGCGCGATACGAATTGCTACAAATTTAATGTGGAATCTCATGACTCCGAATATTATTTCATATATTGTCAACGGAATGCTCGCTATGGCAAGTTTGTGATCTCATTTGTCAATAATCGGGCAATCATTCTTATAGCATTTATTATGAGCAGAGAATGACTTCTAAGATTTTACTGATGATGTTATTTGACTTGACAAGTTCGATATGTAACAAATCGAAAGAAATTAAATAATATAAAGTTATATTACAAACGTTTATGTTAAATTAACATTTCGTTCCTATAATCATCATGCAACTTGAATAGTATATCGCCATAACACATTTGCTCATTTGTTCTCGAGAGAAATTACGTTTGCACTACAACTTCGGCGCAGGCGGAACATTTGATAAGGCGGTCTCGCCTTATGGAGAAGACATAATCACAAGAGTATACTCGCATGTACGACAGAATGATCGTTGCGACAATATCATGATGCATGAATAATGTTAGATTCATAATACGAGACCACGAACGTGCAATCGCGCGTCAGCGCGTTTATTCTGTCCCGCCAACAATCGATTAAAGTAATAAGGCAGCATCGTAAAATACAATAATACCGTACGGTTTGTATCGACAGCTATTAAGAACAATTCATGCCCCTTGAAACGCAGCCCGTTCGGCAACGCGTCGCCAAGCCGTAACAGCACGACGTTACGTTTCTCCTTTTGCGCTGCTTTTTACTTTATATGAGTGGTCCGATATCCTTTCGGGGTTTACGAGAGCTCGTAAATACTGCTCTGTTTTAATTAGATTTTTAATAGCGGTAATAAACGCGCAATGGTCCCCGCCCTGAGAAAAATCGCCGTCTATTCCGCGAATAACATTGTCCACGACGCGACAAGAGCGGCTTCCTTATGGACGACCCTCTAGAAGTGCGATCTGCTTCGCTTCCTAGTTCTCGCGATGTAAACGTAAACATTAACGGTAGACCGCTCGTAACCATTCGCCTTACAACTTAGTCTTCTCTTCTGATGCATTTATGCGGCAATATCACGTGCGTCTAATATGTCACACGTTACATAATTCCTTAGTTGTCTTTCTGGTGCGAGAGTGTGCAGAATTTATTGCCAGCCGCAGTAACGACTTTACTTCTCTATTATCTGTCTCTTATAAACTTCTCTCAAGCGTTGCGTGAAGAATATGTGATTTGCCATCTGCTTTATTTTAATACGTAGCTTAAAATTATGCTTTTTTACTTAAGTTCCTGGAGTATTATGTATCATTATCTTTGTCAAGTCAATTATGATACTGATAACACTTCTAGTGAAACATTTCCGCGAATAATGTTCAAATAAATAATCATCGTAGTTAAGTATCGACATGTTTGGAGGATCGCTTCTCTTATGGAAATTATTTATGATGGCATAAATCTTATCGTGTTTATCATTCAACCATTAATCACACAGGATTAATTTACAAGTATGTGTAACACTTCGTTGTCGTGTCGAAATGTTGACCGCACTTCTTTTTATATTTCATTTTTTTCCCCTCGATCACCTTGAGTTTCTAAAAGTGTCATTCTTAATGATGCAATTTTCCTGAGGCCGAATCCGATTATTGAGCATCAATTTGCAAAAATATGCATCGTAAATACGCTATATTATCTTGTATACGTTTACATCGGTTACATAAGTGCACATGTTAGATCACTAGATTCAATTTTTAGATAAATGTTGCTGAATTTTTTGCAAATACAAACATTATTGAGAAACGTCGGAAGGCGTGCAATTTCGCAAATTTTCGACGAGAGCCAAGTTAGAGAATTGGCCTTTCGAGTGGAAATTTAGACACTTCAAAACTGGTCGTTATGGATTGTTTTGGAGGGAGCGGCAAAGGGAATCACCTGCAGCACTTTTAACCGTCACTAACCATCCCTTCTACTTGCTATTCCTTCTTTCTCTTCATTCGTTCTTCCACATATACACAGTACAGCTTGCTTTTATGGCCACGGTTATTTCCGGATCAGCGTCTCTGACACTGTACGGCCACCGCTTTATATTATTACTGTATAATTCCTCATTGTTCCTCGCACTGGCATTCGCTTACATGAAAGGCTCTG